CTGATGCACTCGGCATCCGACTTCCCGAGGAAAGTGTTACCCGGACTGCGAAATAACTCTGGGCTGAAACGCGACGTCCCCTGGAGGCGCGTGAGCTGTTCCACAAGACCGAGGGGGGCGCCGCAGGGGAAGCTCAAGCTCTGACGACCAGCTTCGAATGGTAGCTGATGACCCTCGCGGGACGATCGCTGTATAGCTCGTGTGGGAAATTGAAGTTTTTCCCCAGGGCTGCCCGACGGGTCTTGCATGCGCGTTCACGGGCGATGTCGGAGCGGCTCTTGCCGAGGCCGACGCGCACAGGGACAGAGCGACAAGCAGGAACTTCCACCGCGAACCTGCGCCACTGCCCCTGGGGGGTCCGCGAGCCGGCCTGGAGGCAACGGAGACAGGCACGAGCCGTGGCCACCAACGAGCCAGTCATACGGAGTGCGAGCTAGTTGTCCAGCCGCAGACCTTCAAGCTTGCATTCGCGATCATACTCATAGCCGATTGATTCGATCCAACTTTGAAGAGCACCGTCGACATGTAGGTCGGAGACACCATTTTGAATTGATACCACAGGTTGAAAAGTCTTTCGGGCGGTCCCATTCGGCGGTACGAGGAGGAGAAGCATCAGGAGGTTGAGTGCTAGTCAATTCAAACTCGTTTTCCAACGTGGTTAACTTGGCGACCAGCGCGGACTGAACGGTTTCCACTTTCTGCAATCTGGGCCCGGTGTCACTGAGGCGCCTGTTGAAACCTTCGAATCGCTGGTTGACCTGGGCATCGGACTTCTCGAGGATGCCACTCGCCTCTTGCTGCGCAGGGGGGAGAGAAGAGCTGAGGGACGCCATGCGTATCTTGGACATCTCGGCCATGCACTTTGCTTAGAACTTATGGAGAACTCATCTGCACGGAGGGCGGCCAGCTCAGAGCGGAGGACCCCTGCAGCCCATGGGTCGGAGCTGGGCTCGGCACCGCTGCCGCTGCGCCACCAGCGGACAGGAACATCAACCGTCCGAGAACGAAGATGGCCAGCAGCACCGTGATCACTGGCACGCATAGCTGCCCCGATACGCAACACGCAACACGTATCGTATTGATACGGAGCTCAACACGTAGGCTGAAGACGTGGGTCCGACGCGATACACTCGCCAAAACGTGGTCCAATACGTGGGGCCAACACGCAACGTATTGACACGGAGGTCTTGAACACGGGACGTATTGCGTTTCGAAACGGGCGTATCGAGGCAACTAAGCTGGCATGTGGGGCGGGCATCTCCTCGTCAGGAAGCGTGGGCGCGCTCTCCAACCCAGCAGCCAGACGACCACTCTTCAGCAGACAAGCTAGGGGGTCCTCGGGCATCAGAAGCGAGCAACGGCTGCGGCGCCAGCAGAGGTCATCGCCAGCACGGTCGCTCCTGGAGCGGTGCGAGGGGGAGAGAGACGACGAGGCTCGAGCTCAAGGCTATTGTGTCGATCGCGCCGGCGAGTCCCGGGGCTGTCACGGCGATCGCGGCAGCGCCGACGCCGAACAGACTGTGGGGGCGCGCTCCTCGGAGCAGGCTTCGGAAAGGGCGATGGGACACGGGACGTGGACCCATCGCGGCGACGACGGCGTCGCGGGGCCTTCTCGGGTCTGGCTTTCTCGTCTATATTCTCAGGCATGACGCAGCCGCGCCGGCAGGAACAGGAAGGTCCGCTGTTTACCCACTGGCGAGACTGCCAGCACGAGGCGGAAGAGGTGGGCGGGGGCGGGGGGGGGCCCAGGACCCCCCGCGCAGGCAGACCGCCAGGCTGAACAGCCGTGCCCGCCTCGGACGAGAAGGTCCCCGCTCTCATCCCAGGGGGATTTTTTTAGTCTGGAGCCAAAGTGGAGGAGGGAACGGAGGAGGAGGAGGAGGAGGAGGAGGAGGAGGAGGAGGAGGAAAAGTGTAAAACCAAGACGCACCAACGACTTTGCAATATCCCCCCATCCAGGTTCCCTTTTCGCAGGTCCATGCAACAAGTGATCTGGATTGCAGGAGCCGCCTGATAATTCTCAACTGCACCAACACGCAATTCCTCGGACTTCAGCGCCGCGCATCGACGTGACTTTTGCGCCCTGACAACCACAAACCGTGCCAGAAGACCAGTTCTGGGACGCCAACACGGCGAATCAACGCGATAGCTGCGTCCTGACGACCCTGAATTGAACCAAAACACCATTCTTGGGACGTCAACCGTACGAACACTTACGTATGCTGCATATGCTGCACACGTTTGGGACGAATGTGCGCGGCGCGAAAGGCGACAACCACATTTTGAAAAGGAACCGCCCCCACCTTCGTGAAACTATTACAAATGTAAAGACGAATGCGCGCGGCGCTGAAATGATAACCGCACTTTTTTACTTGAAAAACGCCTCCCATCCGTGGCACTGCTACAAACATTTGAAACGAACGCGTGCGGCCCTAAAGCGAACAAAAAACCTAAAACCGACCTCCATCCGTGAAACTGTCGCAAACTGTACAACGAATGCACGCGGCGCCAAAGCGAGAACCACCTTTTGAAAAGGAACCGCTCTCCATCTGGAAACGACTGCATTTTCAAACGTCAGCATCAATAGTGGCGTGAAAATCTCAGGCGAAACGCCCGGGCCGCCCTACTAACACGTCTAGGGGCGCGACAGGGAGGAGGCATTTAGAAGGAAGTAGAACCGAGGCGGAGGAGGAGGATAAGGAGGAGGAGCGGACCCCTTGAGCCAAAAACCAGCGGATCGAGTCGACTGTGCTGCCATCACAAGCTCTGCATTCTGCGTCGGCGGCAGCGCGTTGAGCGACTGCCAGGCGGAGCCCAACAACCAAGATCGCTGCTTTGGGCCCTCCGGCGCGCACGGGCGGCGGAGGGCTACGGCGCCCTCGACGAGCCGACCCAAAGCCTCTGTGGCAAAAGGTACGAGGTCAGGGCCTTGGGACCGAAGGCGCTTACTGTCCCCGGCCCGCGCGGCTGCCGCGCCATCCCGCACTGCCTGGGCGTTCTGGGCAAGTGGAGCAGAGACGAGGATGCAGACGTCAAAGCGTGCAAGCTGGGCGCTCAGGTCGTTAAAAACAGCCAAGCGTGCACGTTCAGTCACTTCCTCCCGTCCACCTCCATCGTGCCCTGCTGACACAGGCACCACCTCGTCCTCCTCCTACTCCTCCTCCTCCTCCTCGAGCGTGGCCGTGGGCGCGCCTGGGGTTCGTCTGTATCAACCTGGAAATGAACGGCCCTGAACACACCTGCACTTGTGTCTGGGACGAGGGCGAGGTCAAAAGCCTCAAGGGCGCGCTCAAGGGCAAAAGGCCTTCTCCTCCTCCGCCTCGTCCTCGTCCTCGTCCTCGTCCTCTTCCTCCTCCTCCTCCTCTTCCTCCTCCTTTTCCTCCTCCTCCTTCTTCTTCTCCTCCTCCTCCTCCTCCTCCTCCTCCTCCTCCTCCTCCTGCTCCTCCCGCCAAGCTCGCGGGCGCGGTCGCGGGAGTGCCCGGTGGGCGTGGGCGCCTGCTGCGGCCGCTGCGCCTCGCCTGCCCCTCGCCGCGCGCCAAAGGGCCACCGGGGCCGCCGCCCTTCGCCTCGCTCCGCTGGCTGGCGCGCTGGCCTGCTGCTGCAGCTGCTGGACTTGCTGGCGCGCCTCGCTCCGCTGGCTGGCGCGCTGGCCCTGCTGCAGCTGCTGGCCTTGCTGCAGCTGCTCGAGGGCGCGCCTCGTTCCGATGGTCGGGGGCGGTGGGGGTCTCGCCGTTTTGCGTGCTGGCCCGCCGTCCCCCGCCTCCATTCCTGCGCATCGTCGTGCTACACGTCGGCATGTGTAAGACCGTCGTGGAGTGGGCTCGGGGACGGGCTGCTGCTCGTCATGCTCGGGTTCGCGGTCGGATGGCCCTTGGCTTCTCAGGCGCGCGGGGGGGCGCAGAACCGCGCTGCCCTCCATGGCTCGCTGTTTAAGCTGGTGCTTGTCGTATCGCCCTCTCCTTGTTTCCGCTCCTCTTTCCCCATCATATGACTAGTATTAGTACTATCTGTACACTTTCTATTATTAGTAATAATACTCGTACCACTAGTACGTTTTAGTATCACGATTGTTACTCGTATTATCAGTACCAGTACTCTTACTATTACAAATAGGAGTCGTATGATGACTGTGGTTATTCTTTTGCATAAGATTCGAATAAGTGTTGCTATTATTCCTCATCCTCCTCCATTCCTTTCCTGTTGAAATAACTCCTCCATGTGGCACCCCGAAGCCAGAGGGAAGGGCGGGCTGAGCGTTTCGCTGGAGGCTTCCTCGCCCGAGCGCCGCGCACACTGAGGATTGAGGGCGGGGCGTTTTCAACATGTGGCTCTCACCGTAGCACTGAGCACACTCATTGTAAACAACTTGCGAGCGGGTCACGGGTTGAGTGCGGGCCGTTTTCAAAATGTGGCTCTCGCCTCAGCGCCGCGCAGATTCGATTCCAACATTTGCAAGACTTTCACGGACTAAAGGCGGTTCGCTTTCAAATGTTGCTCTCCCCTGAGCGCCGCGCACACACTCGCTTTAAGCATCTGCAAAAGTTCAACGGATTCCGAAGATCAGCGTATCAGAGACGATGTTGTGGAGCGATTCAGGACTGTCCGAGCGCAACAATTATGTTGACTCGCTGCTGAAGTCCCCGGAGTGGTGTTCTGGCGCGATTCGGGATCGTCAAGACGAAACAATCAGGTTGATGTGTGGAATTGGAGGTGACAACAACGGTGTTTTGGCACGCTTCAGAATCTCCTAACGGCAGTCCTCCAGTGGGACACGCCCCTCCATGGAAACGAAGCCTTGCAGGAGCCTCTCAAGAGGGAGCGCGGAAGGAGTTCATTCCAACATCGTTGGTGAACCTTGGGGTTACGCTGGTCCTCCTCCTCCTCCTCCTCCTCCTCCTCCTCCTCCTCCTCCTCCTCCCGCTCCCGCCCTCAGAGGGGGCCGCGCGCGATCTTCTCCGCGCCGTAGGCGCGGGCGTACGTCGGTGCCGACCCAGGGGCGCTCAGTTCGCCACGGCCCGACCGTGCTCCGAGGAGGTGGTGCTCTCGTCCCCCGAGGAGCGGGCCAAGAAGGGCTCGTCCTGGCAGGAGGGGGGGGGGAGGGAGGAGGGGGTAGCGAGGGACGCAGCGGGGAGGGCCTCGCAGGGCACCGAAGCACCGAAGCCGTCCACGACAGCCGCGCTGTTCCAGGCGCCCCGTCTCTGGGAGCGCTGTGGGGCACTCCGGGGTCGTCTGGCGGCTCTGAGACAGTCTGGGCCGCCATTCACGGGACGCACAAGGACATACCAAAACTATGTGCTTCTGTTGAGGGCGCGCGCCCGACCCGAACACAGAAGCACAGCATCTTGTAGCATATTGTTTCCTGGGCGGGATGGCCAGAAAGCGCCCGCCACCTTGTACTGTGAGGTTTCCGAGCGTGCGCGTTGCCCTTGCGTGGCCGCGTAGTACAAGTATATTAAGGTGATGCCGAAGATGGCTCCCTTCGCTCCCGTCGTCGTCGTCGTCGTCGTCGTCGTCGTCGTCGTCGTCGTCGTCGTCATCATCGTCGTCGTCGTCAACGTCGTCGTCGTCGTCATTGCCCCTTCGTTGCGCTGCTTGTCGAGCGTTTTGGATCGTTTGCTGAGTCACCGAGCGGCGGCCCTCCCCACCGCGCGGCGCGCGATTATGCCTTCGCAAACTCTGGCGCGGCCACCTCTGGAGCAGGGCAGCTCGTCGGCGCAGACCGCGGAGCGCGACTGGACGGGTGAGCGACGATCAGAGAGGCGCCTCACGCGAGATTTTCACGGCGACCTCACGCGGTGGCTTACGCAGGCCGCCGGCGGGGCACACTGCATTGGAAACGAGGACGCTTACGCGCGACATTACGCGGGGAGCTTACGCCCGAATGTCGAAGCAGCCGAACCTGTTTTTTTAAATGTCGCTCAGGAAGCTTGGGACTGGGGTTCACTCGGGCGTGTCCTCTTACAGGCGGATTTTGGAGGAAACATCAAAATACGCAGCAAATAACTATACATATTACAATAATCGTCCCCGTATTAGTTTTAAACTAGTGTTGAATATTCCTCCTGTAAAGGGACAGGCCCGGCTTAAGACTGTTGGGAGGCGTTCTGAATCCAGGCACGCGTCCTCCCCAGGCTTCCGATGTCGTGATTGTGTTTCAACACATGACCTCTCGACACGATCCCCTCCTGGGGACAAATTGCTCCCCCTCGGACCGCCTGCGCCAGAGCCCGAAAATGGCTAACGCAGGCCCAGAAGGGCGGAGTTCCGTAATCTACTTGCTATCGCTACTGGACGGCCGATTCTTGCCCCAAACGAACAACAACGTCCGCAATGGCACCGACAGCGAATCCCTTTTCATACTAGCAAGGACTGCCGTCGATCTTCGTCCTCAGTCTTTCCGTCCCAATTTCGTCCCGGCCCAGGAGGTGTCCACACCAGGCGCTGCAGGAGGCCCAAAAAGAACCGAAGACATTCAAAGACCTCGACCTTCGATCGAGGATTTGAAGACCTCTCAAGAACAGGGCCGGAGCAGACGCGGTAGGAGGAGCGAGCCGCATCGGCGATGCATCGGCGACGGCGGTATGGAGAAGAACGAGCTCCACATCGCACCGCATCGCCGATGCATCGGCGACGCGGCGCGATTCTCCGATCCCCTCCGACTCCGGCCTCATTTGGGACACCTGGAGAATTGGTAACGGCAGGTATGGCGGCCCAAATCCCCGACTTCGTGGGTCTCGACTTGGCGAAACAAAGATCCAACTCACGAATAGATTGAATGCATACCAGACCATCCCAATCTAACCCGAAAACCCGAATTTCGGGTTGGGGGGGTGCGGGTCCCACACGACAGCCCCCCCACTGGAACTGGAGGGCACATCGGGGCCTTCGGGTTGGGTTGGGGTGGTTTTGTGGGCAGTGATGCACGATGTGGTGGCCCTCCACGGGGGGCGCCCACCCTGGATAGAGGTGCGTCCGCACGGCCAGCCTCTTGGAGCGAAGCTCGAGCCCTGGGTCCTCCTGCTGCTGCTGCTAACGGTAGATGAAGGTGATCCTGCAACCACCTATCCTGCCGAGCGCCCCTCGTCTCAACACAGAGGGGGTCGGGGGTTCATTAGGGAAAGGGTGAGACGCGAGAGGCAGACCAAAACTGTGGGGCTCGACCCCAGTAGAGGGGGTAAGAGAGAGAGAGTAGAGAAACTGTGGGTCCTCCTCCTCCTCCTCGGAGGCCAGCGCAACTGCTCGCCACTCGACGCCCTCGCCGCCGCCGCGGCCGGCCAACGGCTCCGGCGGCAGCCGGCTCCCTGCGGGGGGGTAGGGCCTCGGACTCGGAAGAGGGGCCGGCGAACTGCAGGACGGCGGAGGACCACCACGGCACACATTCCTCCACCCTCCTTATCCTTGACCACCCCTTGTCTCTCTCATAATTATGTACATGTATGGATGATTCCTCTTCGCCTGACCGCCAAACGTGTCGGCAGGGCGCGCTGGGCGTTTCGCCCCAGACGTCCCGCGTTTGTGACCCAGGCGCTGGACATTGCCGATTACTGCACGGATGGAAGGCGGCTCCTTTTCAAAACGTGGCCGTTGCCACTGCCTCGCGCACGCTCGTCTTGCAAGCTTGCAGCAATCACAAGGAGAGAGGAATGATCATCTTCAAATGTGGTTTTCGCCTCAGCGGGGCCAGGCGGGGGAATACATAGGTCTGCCCGAGCTCGAGGCTGGAGACCCCCAGCTTCCTGAACGTCATGGTGCTCTCGCCAGCCCCCACCTCGCGGTCGCGCACTGCCCCCAGCTGACCAAGAGCCTCCTGCGATAGCAGCGCGGGGGTCAGGCGCGGCACGATGGATACCCTCAGCGCGAAGGGGCGCCCGCGCACGGCGAGAGGCACCAGCGCTTCCATCGCGCTGTTGACTGGCTTACCAGCGCCGAACCTGACAACTTCATGTTCGTCAAACTCGATCGGCTTGCGGCCCACCTTTGCGAGCCGTTTCCTGATGCCGCTGTGCCAAACCTGTCCTCCAACGGACTTGGCGCAGCACGAGTCCGGTAGCAGCTTGCCGCCGCACTGCTGCAGCAGCTCCTCTTTCGTAGCCGCGATAACGTTCACAGTGCCCGTGCTGGTCATCAGCACGCTGCTGTTGATGAAGAACGTCTGCTTCTCGACCTGCTTCTCTTTGCTGCTCCAGCTCGTGAGATGCTGCTCGGATCCCTGGTCTTCCTCGTCGTGGTCGTCGGCAGTCGTCATGTGCGCCTCGCTCGGCGTCCCTGAACACTCGGGGTCACCCTTCCAGTGTCCCAACTTCTGGCACACCGCGCAGTGAGTTCTCGCACTCAGCTTCTTGATGCGGTCCGAGCCCTTGCCGCCGGGCCCCGTGCCGCCTCCGGGACTGCCTTTCTCGCCAGGCCATTTACCAGGTCCGCGCCCAGGTAGCCGATCTCTATGATAAAATCCTCTGGTTTGATTGGCATATGTTTGCCTGTCCTTCGCTCTGGCGAGTATCTTCTCTAGCTTGTAGGCTTCGGCCTCCACTTCGTCGTGCTCCTCGAGTAACTCCCCCGGCGGGCCATCATCGTCCACCTTGGTCTCGTGCGCCTCGAAATCCTCCTCTTCGTCGTTCTCGGTGAGGTGAGCTCCCCATCGTCGAGGTCGTGCTGTTGGACCTCTGGGCGCGAGTGGTGTCATGGGTGCTGGCCTCCGGGTGTTGTGCTTGTCCAGTGCTATGGCGTCCTTCACGTTAAGCAACGTCTGCTTCTGTAAAGGCTCGAGCTCGTACTTATTCTGATTGGCGTTCAGCACTCCAGCTTCTCGATCTGGCGGCAAGCCGAGCCACCGCATGAACAACCACGCCAGCGCTTGATCTGGGAACTCGATCTGCATTGTCTTGAGCCGCGAGACCTGCGTGTCGAAGCGGTTGATGTAGCCCCTGGTCTCCTCGCCGCTGTCGCGGCGCATGCGGGTGAAGAAGGTCTTGAGCTCGGACCCGAGCTCCATCACCTTCTCGTCGTCAAACTTGTCTGCTAGGAAGTCGAGCGGCACTTGGATCCCTTCGTCATTCTGAAGCTCGGTCGGGTCGAGGTCATCTGCATGAATCCAGGCGTCGCCCTTCAGTTCTGCGTAGAGCTCCGCGGCCTGCCTCTCAAGGGGCAGTCTGGCCCTTATCTTGAATATCGCCACTCGCCTCCTGTAATCCTTCATCGGCATCGTCTGTGGGTCGAAGGTTGGAGCTGGAACGTGTGGTCCTCCCGGCTGCTGGGTACGTCCTTCCTCGCCTTCTGCTTGTTCTTCGGACGGGTCCATATTGGGCGCCATCCTTGCCGGAACTGCTGTAGATCTCCGGCCTCGAACTCGTTAGTATGTGGCGGTCTGTCCTCCGAACTCGATGCTGCGAACTGCTTCTCTCGATGCTGCGAGCTGCTTCTCTTCGCTGCAACGAAGGCGTGTCCGTGGGTCGAACAGCTCCTGCTACCAATGTGAAGATGCAACTTCTGAGATAGGCGCTGATGTTTTCCGTATGTCGCCTGAGACTCAAGGGCCCTGGGAGCCGCAATGTTTACCGATAAGAAATGAGACGAGGGGCAAACGCTGGGCCATCCAGCACTCTCGCTTTCACGGGGGGGGGGGGGGGCGCACCGCGGCGAGGGGAGGAGGGAACAGCGAGAGGGAGGGCCGATGGGGGGATCCAGGGCAGGGGAGGGGATGTGAAATAGGCGAAGACCGAAGACCGCAGGAGGACGGGGGGAGGATCGGAGGGCCCAGGGCCGAGGAGGATCCAGGACAGAGGAGTCACAGGCATGGACGGGGGCCGAGGTCCGAGGAGGAGGGGGGAGCATCGAGCTGAATGGGGCCCTGGGACACACAAATAAATACACACAAATAACAGGATGCCCCATATTTCCCACATGTTCTGGGTGTTTGCCTTCCCCTCACCTCCCATACTTTCCCATATTTTCCAGGGGGTCGACGATTAATTGTGTCTTTGTGTTTTCCCCCTCCTGGAACATGCAACCTCGCGAAACATCATCACCAGACCCGAGGAATCCGTCCTTCTGCCTCATTGCTCGAGCTGGCTCTAGCTGTGAGAGCCCCGAGGCGAGGAAACCGGGCGGAAACGCCAGTTGTGAAAAAAATGCAGCCACAGGGTTTCAGTGACTTGGCTCGGCTATAGCGCCCTCTGGCTCTGAATTGAGCAGGGACCGACCGTCCAGGCATTCCTATAGGACTACCACAACATGTTCTTTGAACGAAAGAACGTTCGAACAACAACAACAACAACAATTCTCTTAGAACCTAGAGCCGTCGCATTAGAACAAGACGGCCTCAGCCAGAAATATCCGAATAACATGTCGTGCAGACCACAACAGGTTCTCAGAATACGTACTCTTCGGTCGGTCTTCAAGTAGGCCAGGACGCCTCGCCGCTGCTTGACTATGCTACCCAGACCCCCGACGTCGTGCATTTTTGCTCAGGACGTGGACCCCTAGCGGTCTGCACCCGTTACCCAGGACCGCCCTTTCGTCTCGGGTCGTCTCCTGACGGCCCTGAGAAGGCCGGCAAGGGCACAGGCCAGAAACACCGAAGACCCTCCCGCCATGACTGTTTCATGACCCAAGGGGGTCTGGCCATGTCTGGAGGGGGGAGGACGTGGAACATGACCAAGGCTGAGCGCGGAAACGTCGTGCCGATCTTGGTCATCTCCAGTCTTGGTCAGCGTCGACTCGCGGATAATCCTCGCGAATCAGCGGCGGCAGACGTGGACCATGACCAAGATCGGCATCGGCAGGATCCCGCGACATCTTGGTCATGGCCCCCGTGCTTCTTCCCTCAAACGTCTGGCATGTAGAGCCATCTGGCTCGCAGGGCGCCGTCGGCGACGTCGGCGATGCAGCGGCGACGTCCGCGTGGGGAAGATCGGGCTCCGCATCGAGCCGCATCGCCGATGCACCGCCGATTCGGGGCGATCCACCGACACCCCCAGACCCCCGACGTCAGGATTTGTGCACAACGTCGACTCCCAGAGGCTTCCAACCATTCCCCTGGACCAGATTTTCATCCCGAGTCGTTTTGTGACGCTCCCGAGTCCCGGCAAGGGCCACACGAGGCCGAAACTTGCGCAAGACCTTCCGTCACGATTCTGTCCATGACCCGAAGGGGGTCCGGGCCATCCCCTCTCCCACCCCATATGGGGGCCTTCGACCGATGGGGTCTGGCTATGTCTGGCGTGCAGCGCCCTCTCGCTCTGAGAGGCCCCGCGGCCCGCGGCGGCCAGCGGAGCCCAGCCCTCCGCGCTCGGCCACGGCCAACTGCGGCCCGGCCCGCGCCCCTGCGCGCTGGCAGCGGCGGGCGCCGCAAAGTCGGCCGCGCCGATCCTGGCGCGGCGTCGCAGGTCCTCCTCCTCCTCCTCCTCTTCCTCCTCCTCCTCCTCCTCCTCCTCCTCTTCTTCTTCTCTTTCTTCTTCCTCCTCCTCCTCCTCCTTCTCTTCCTCCTCCTCCTCCACAATTACTCAATATGAATACGACTCTCCCTCTTCCCCTGATGACGTGCTGGGAGGGTTCGACCCCCCCCCGCGTACTGTGTTTTTACACACAGGATTCCCGGGAATTGGGTTTTCGCTTGCATTTTTTTCAAAATCCTGCTCTCGCTGAAGCGCCGGCCTCATTTTTCGGGCCCCGCTCGTTCCGAATCGTGCTCCCGCTGCAGCGCTGGCCTCATTTCCGTGCTTCCGCTCGTTTCGACTCGTGCTCCCGCTGCAGCGCTGGCGTCATTTCCCGTGCCATGCCACGGCATGCAATGCAATGCTAGGTTGATACTACGCTTTGCGGTGCTATTCTACGCCATACCATGCCGTGATCTACAATGCATCGCGTACCCTTTCGCGATCATTGCCCTGCTCGACATCCGACTGTGCGAGTAGAGAGGGGATCTACGCCATGGTAAGGGATGGGAGGGAGGGGTAGGATGTCAGATATGACGCAAGCGCACCTAGCTTGACCTCCTCCTCCTCCTCCTTCTCCTCCTCCGATCCTGGCCCGGCGTCGCAGGTCCTCCTCTCCTCGTCGAGGTCTGGGCTTTGCGTTTGTTGTGTCACACCGCGGTGGTGGGCGCCCGTTATTCGGGCCCCGGGGCCCTCAGAGACCAGTGCGGCTCGGGAAGAGTGGCGCAGGAAGGTGGGGTCTGGGTCTCTGGGCGTCATTGTTCGCGATGTTGCACTTGTTGTTTGCGACGTCCGATCTCAGGGTCCTCCTCGGCACTGGACCCTCCCCCCTCCTCCTCGGACCTCGGTCCCAATCGATGTGTCCTCCTCTGCCCTGGATCCCCGTCGGACCTGATGGGCCCTGGAGCCTCCCACCTCCTCCTCCTCGATCTTGGGTCCTCGGTTCTCATCTACATCTCCTCCTCGGTACTGGATCCCCTTCGACATACGGTCCCCCCCCTCGATATAGACCCGCCCCCGTCGATGCCGTCTTCCCCCCTGGGCGGGCGCCGCGGGCAGGCTCTCTCCCGGCAGGTCGGCGGCGGGCCGGCGACGAGGACCCGCCGCGCTGCTGCCGCAGGCTGGCCCACGGGGTCAGGCGCCCCGCCCCCCGCCCCCCCCCTCCCCCCTCCGCCCCTCGCCATCCCCCCTCCCTCCCTCCTCCTGTCCATCCTCTCTCCCTCCCTCCCTCCTCCCTTCCCCCCCCTGACCTCCTCCCCTATCCCCCCCCCTCCATCCCCCCTGCTCCCTCCTCCTCCCCCCTGCTCCCCCCTTCTCCCCCTTCCTGCCCCCCCTTCCCCCCCCCCTCCCTCGTCCTCCCCGTCGCCGCCGGAGCGGCATCGTCGAGCTGCTCCTCGCGTTCGGCGCCCGCGCGAGGCCCACCTTCGGTCTCCGCAGGGCCCCCGCGGGAGGGCCATCGCGAGCGGAGCGCTGCCCCCGCGGACGCAGGGATCGAGGCCTCCTCGTCGGGCGCCTGGGCTCGCAGAGGGCCGCGGAGGCCCGCGGGCCGCGGCGAAGGGCGCGGAGGCCTTGCGGGCTCGGGCTCGCTGGGGCGGCGGGGGGCCCCGCCTCTCTTGTGGGCCGCGGCTGGGCCGGGCGGTCGGGCTCGCGGCGGTGCTCGGGCTCGCGACGGCTTGCACGAAGTGGTCCAGGGCTTGCCGCCGCCCCCCTCTCATGCTGGGCCTTCGCCCCCCCCCCCCCCCCGCGCGATGGCCCCCCCCCTGTGGTCGTGGCCGTATGGGCGTCGTCGCCGTCGTCATCGTCGTCATCATCGTCATCGTTGGCGTCGTCGTCGTCGACCCCCCCATCGGGCCTGTGAGCCCTGGGACACATCCCATCTGGGCGGGGGCCTGCGAACCATCGACTCTGAGTCATATGTGATCCAGGGCTCCGCCGCCTCCCCAATGCTTATGGGATCGGGACCCGCCCCCGCTGAATGGGTACGCCCATGAGCCTCGCGAATGCCTCGCGAATGGGATCGCTCCCCACCCCCCTTGTGGTCGTGGTCGTGTGGGCGTGGCGTGGTGGGTGCCGGTGCCCTCCCCCTCCCCCTGTGGGGGTAGGGTGGTTCGTCGTCGTCGTCGTCGTCGTCGTCGTCGTCGTCGTCGTCGTCGTCGTCGTCGTCGACGGGGGGGGGCGGCGGCGGCGGCGGCGGCAGCGGCAGGGGCGGCGGCGGCGTCGTCGTCGACGTCTTCCGTCGGCATCGGAGTCGTCGGCGCCGGTGTCGGCGTCGGCGTCGGCGTCGGCGTCGTTGTCGTTGGCGTCGGCGGCGGCGGCGGCGTCGTCGTCGTCGGCGTCGTCGTCATCGCCGCCGTCGTCGTCGTCGGCGTCGTCGGCGGCGTCGTCCCCCACCATCCCACGGGGGGGAAGCCTGTGGAACTCTGGGACCCATCCCATCAGTGTGGTGTGGGCCTGTGAACCCTCGACCCGGAATCATGTATAATCCAAGGTTGCCCCCCCCTCCCCCCCTAATGCACGTGGGATCAAGCCCCCTTGCTGGATTGGTACGCTCGTGAGTCTCGCGGAAGCCACGCGAATGGGATCGTTCCTACCCCCCTGTGGTCGTGGCCCTGTGAGGGCATGGCGTGATAGAGGGTGCTGGTGCGCTCACCCCTCTCCCTGTGGGTGTGGGGTGGTTCGTCGTCGTCGTCGTACTTCCCCCGTCGTCCGTCGTCCTTCCCCCTTCGTCTGTCGTCCGTCCGTCGTCCGACGTCCGTCGTCGTCCGTCGTCCGTCGTCCGTCGTCCGTCGTCCGTCGTCGTCGTCGTCGTCGTCGTCGGTCATCGTCGTCGTCGTCGTCGTCCTCGTCGTCGTCGTCGTCGTCATCGTCGTCGTCGTCGTCGTCGCCGTCCGTCGTCCGTCGTCTTTCGCCCTTCCCCCGTCGTCTGTCGTCCGTCCGTCGTCCGACGTCCGTCGTCGTCCGTCGTCGTCCGTCGTCCGTCGTCCGTCGTCCGTCGTCCGTCGTCCGTCGTCGTCGTCGTCGTCGTCGTCGTCGTCGTCCTCGTCGTCGTCGTCATCGTCGTCGCCGTCCGTCGTCCGTCGTCTTTCGCCCGTCGTCGTCGTCGTCGTCCGTGGCCTTCGCCGTCGCCGTCGCCGTCGCCGTCACCGTCGTCGTCGGACGTAGTCGTCGTCGTCGTCGGACGTCGTCGTCGGTCGTGGGACGTCGTCGTCGTCGTCGTCCTCGTCGTCGTCGCCGTCGTCCTCCTCCTCGTTGTCGTCGTCGTCGTCGGTCGTCGGTCGTGGGTCGTCGGTCGTCGTCGTCGTCGTCCGTCGTCGTCGTCGTCCTTCGTCGTCGTCGTCGTCGTCGGTTTCGTCGTCGTCATCGTCGTCGTCCTCCTCGTCCGTCGTCGTCGTCGGCGGGGGCGGCGGCCGCGGCGTCGGCGGCGTTGGCGTTGGCGTCTGCGTCGGCGTTCCCCCCCATACCATCTTGGAGAATGGGGGGAACGCCTCGACCCGGGATCATGGGGGGGGTGGGGGGTGCGTTGGGCCTATGAACCCTCGACCCGGGATCATGCGGCCTGCGGCCGGGGCGTCCGTCGCACCACTGGGGTCAGGCGGGGGGGGGGCGGAGCCACTCCGAGAGGCTCTCTCTCTCTCTCTCTCTTTGCTCGGGGCGGGAGCGAGCGGCCAGGCTCGCTGCGGCGGCGCGGGAGCGAGCGGTCGTGTTCGCCGCTGCGGCGGCTGGGCTCGCAGCGACGCGCAGTGGCCGGCCAGCGGGGCACCCATGGAGACGACCTGTCGCGCAAGCGCGTAGCGACTCCGTCGCGCTCGTCGCCGGCCGACCACGCTTCAGAACCTGCGGGCTCCCTTGGCCGTCGTTGGGTGTGGAGGGCCCTGCCCCCGCCCCAGCTCGGCCAGGGAAGCCTGCGTCTGCACCGCTCCTGGGCCCGGGATGGGCCTGGCCTTCGGCAGTGGGTGTGTATCGTCGCCCTGCAGGCGAACACCACAACAGCGCCGTGCAAGCACCGGGCCGCGTGGGGTCGTCGGAATATCGGAATCGGGCCGGGCCGGCGGGGATCCATACAGAACCAGATCGATCGGATCGAAGCAGACCCTGACTTCGGCTTTCGGGCCATCTCTTAGGTCTCTGGGGGTCGTTCGGGGCGAGCCGGGCACCCCTAGAACGCTCTCGGCGAGGCAGAGTTGATGGAACGCATCCTGAGGCAAGGAACCCCCAATGAAGCATGGAGCCGACGACAAAAGCGAAAACCCGTCCGACCCTCAATCCTTGAACTTCCTCGAACCTCCTCGATGGGGGCTGCGGCCGGCTGCCTCTGGTTTGCTCGCGTCACTCGTGTGTGTGTGTGTGCATATGTGCATGTGTTCGTGTATGTGTATGTGTTTGTGTATGTGTGTATGTGTGTATGTGTTTGTGTGTTTGTGTGTTTGTGTGTTTGTGTGCTTGTGTTGTGAAGTGTAGTGGTGTGTTGTGAAGTGTACTGATGTGTTGTGGTATGGTATGCTGCGCTGTGTTGTGTTGTGTCGTGTCGTGTTGTGCTGTGGTGTACGTGTGCGTGTGTGTGTGTGTCTGTGTGTGTGTCTGTGTGCGTGTCTGTGTCTGTGTCTGTGTCTGTGCATGTGTCTGTGCCTGTGTCTGTGTCTGTGTCTGTGCCTGTGCCTGTGTCTGTCTGTGTGCGTGTGTGTGTGTGTGTGTGCTTGTGTGTTTGTGTGTGTTTGTGAGTGTGCGTGCGTGCGTGCATGGGTGTGTGCGTGCGCGCGTGCGTGCGCGCGCGCGGCGTGCGGGCGTGTGGGCGTGCGGGCGTGCGAGCATGCATGCATGCGTGCATGCGTGCGAACGTGCGTGCGTGCGTACGTGCGTGCGCGCGCGCGGCGCGCGGGCGTGCGGGCGTGCGGGCGTGCGGGCGCGCGGGCGTGCGTGCGTGCGTGCGTGCGTGCGTGCCTGCGTGCGTGCGTGTGTGTAGTGTGTGTAGTGGGTGTGTAGTGTGTGTGTGTGTGTGTGTTGTGTGTGTGTTGTGTGCTGTGTGTGTGTGTTTGTGTGTTGTGTGTTGTGTGTTGTGTGTTGTGTGTTGTGTGTTGCGTGTTGTGTGTTGTGTGTTGTGTGTTGTGTGTTGTGTGTCGTGTGTGTGTGTCGTGTGTGTGTGTCGTGTGTGTGTGTGTTGTGTTGTGTGGTGTGTGTTGTGTGTTGTGTGTGTGCGTGTGCGTGTGCGCGTGCGTGTGCGTGTGCGTTTGCGTGTGCGTGTACGTGCGCTTATACATGCCCCGCCCAAAGCCAGCCGTCCTGGAGGTCCGCCCGAGCACCGCGCGGAGGCTGGCCAGCCGCCGCTCCAGCCGAGCCACGTGGTCCTTCGAGGGAGGGCATCCTCGACCCGCCCCGTACTCCCTACTCTTCCTCCTCCTCCTCCTCCCCCTCCTCCTCCTCCTCCTCCTCATCATCATCATCAGCATCATCAGCATCATCATCATCATCATCGACCAGACTCCACCATCCTTCACCCTCCCACAATCCTACGCACTCCTCTTCCTCCTCCTTCTCCTTCTCCTCCTCCTCCTCCTCCTCCTCCTCCTCCTCATTCTCGACAATCCTCCACCATCCTCCACCCTCCTGCAATCCTACGCCCTCCTCCACCCCCTCCTCCACCTCCTCCTTCTCCTTCTAATCCTCCTCCTCTTCCTCCTCCAGCCAGCGGCAGGAGCACGGGGAGGCGGCAGTACCACCACCAGCGCGACGAGCCAAGAGGGGGGCGTCCTGCCGGTGGTGTGGTCCCCCCTTTCCACTGGAGACATCCTCCATCCCCGGCTGGGAGGCATTGGCATCGTTGGCCTCCTCGCTGGAGGTGGCACCCTGATGGTGGTGGTGTCGTTGTTCCTTCCCCGCCCCTCGCTCCCCGATCCCCACCAAAGAGGTGCTCACGTCGTGCCAAGACATTACGACGCGAAAGTTCTGTCGCTATTGGCCCCTTACCGAGCACCAGGACCGTCACGAAACGACTCGACCCTACCCTCCCCTCTGCCTCGGCCCAGGCGAGACTGAGGCAGGGGCGGCGCGCCACGCGCGCGGCCTGGCCCGCTGCGCTGCGCTTGTTGCCGCTCCCCCTCTTTTCCGGCCCTGGGTTTCAGGACCCGGGCCAATCAATCGGATCTGACGTTGCACAAAACTCCAACGTCGTAAAAAATCACCACCAGAGTCCTGGACCGCATTTTTCTGCATCATACTTTGAGCCGCATCGATCTGTGAGGGTCCCAGGGCCCGAAACTGGGCGAAAACGTCTGTTGCGAAAAACGCAACGCCAAGATCTCAGGAATGCTCCACGCTCCATGCTCCCCCCCCCACCTCCTCCCGCCCACCCCTTCCCCCCCCCCCTACGGCGAGTTCGCGTCGTGACGACGTGTGCGCTGGCTCCTGCCACCGCGCGGGTCGCTCAACCCTCCTCCCACGACCGCGGCTTTCCGACATAGCGCGGGCCGCGCAACGCTTCTTTGGGTTCAAAACGCTTGTGGTTGAGGCAACTTCGTGTCTTGCTGCGCTTCGTGCATTATTTTTTAACGCGGGCCGCGCACCGTGGCCCGAGGCACGTGCGCGGACGAAAAGGAAGGGGGGCCAGGGGACGTACAGTCAAGCCTTGCTTCGTAAGGGTGCGCGGTGATAGCGCAGGCCCCACATCGGACGCCCACGTCGGGGCTCTTCGAGCGGGGCTGGCCATGGAGAGTGGTTGAGGACGGGCCGAGGAGGCAAGGATGCGAGGGTACCCTTGGGAAGGTTGCCCATCCCTATCATGGTTTCCGGCTGCACTGTGCGAAGAAGACGGGGGCCAGGAGGCCTGGGCCCCGACCACGACACAGCTATCCGCTGGCCCTCAGCCCCATCAACGCCTGGGGGCTTTCGGGTCACAACTCGGGCCTCCAGCGGTCGTTCGGGACGATCCAGGCACCCCCAGAAAGCTCTCAACGAGGCGCAGCTCCTGGAAAGCATCAAGAGGCGAAAAAAGGGGGGGGGCGGGAAGCAGCGTCTTGCTTCGAGCGATCCTCACCCGAGAACGCGAGGACTGACCCCTAGGGAGCACCAGCACACTTTGGGCCTGGCGGCCGCGGTGTGCAGGGTGTGTGATGCGGGTCGGAAGCGCATCTCTGGGTCCAACCTGTCGGGCGGGGAGAGCCAATGTTGAAAGCCCACCCGTTGAGAGTCGACGGGCAAGGAGCGCACAAGACAAACGGCGCCAAACACTTGGAACCCCGACCTCCTGGGGAGGTCGGCCGCGCGCGGGGGGGGAAAGAGAGGGAGCAGGCCTTGTCAGAAGGCGGCGGGGCTTCGGAGAAGCCCTGTGGCCGTCTGAAAAAGACGTCTGCGTCTCTGGAGAAGGCCCGGATAACTCTCTAGAAGACCCGAGGCCGTCTGAGGACCCCGACCCCCGACGTCATGTTTTTTTCACGTCGACCCCTGGAAGTTTCGACCCATCCCCCCGGGAACGGTTTGTCATCCCGGGTCGCTTTTTGACGCTCCCGAGGGCTGAAGAACGAAAATAAAAGAAGAAACACGCCATAAACAGAAACCGTTGGCGCTCCACGCGCCGCCGCCAGGGAGGGGGGTCTAGCGCGGATCCAAGAAATCCGCGCGGAGCGCCAAAAGTTTATGTTTATGCCGTTTGCTCGTCCTCGAGAGAACTCCCGTCGTTGACTCCATCATGACCCGAGGGTGTCCGAGGAGATCCCCTCCTCCTCCTCCTCCTCCTCCACCTCCTCCTCATGCTCCTCCTCCTCCACCTCCTCCTCCTCCTCCTCCTCCTCCTCCTCCATTTCCTCCTCCTCCTCCTCCTCCTCCTCCTCCTCCTCCTCCTCCTCCTCCTCCCCCTCCTCCCCCTCCTCCTCCTCCCCACGCCTCGCAGCTCTCCGCGGCCGCGCCGCCGCCGGGGGGCCCGCCGAGGCCGCCGCGGGAGGCCGCGAAGGCCTCCGGTGGCGGGGGCCCCACGGCGGCCGACAGCGCGGCCGCCCACTGGGGCACCTGCTCGGCGGCGAGCCGAGCGGGGGGAGTGCTCAGGAAGCAGCGTGCCCAGGAGTGCTCTGCCAGGAGGTTTTCGTCGGAAAAATCAAAGAGGATTAAGCCCCGTTTGGGCGCTGTTACGCCGGAATGGGCCTCGGACTAAGCAGGATTAAGCGGGATTGAGCGGGATTAAGCGGGATTAAGCGGGATTAAGCGGGATTAATCCGGATTTAGCCGGATTTCGGACCAGGGCAAAGTCAGAATTTGACCTCCCAGGAGTTGCATCCGAAGAGTGCCGAAGGGGCGGGCCGTCCCACAAGGCTCGGAGGGCCTTCGGCCTTCCCCTATAGGGCCTTCGGCCTTCCCCGATATGGGATCCCCTGTATGGGGCCTTCGGCCTTCGGCCTTCCCCTGTATGGGATCCCCTGCTTCGGGATCCTGGCACCTGCTCGGCGGCGAGCCAAGTGCGAGGCGGGGATTTATCCAGATCCAGCGCATGGGAACCGACGTCCTGGTGCCCCAGCGGGCGGTGGATATGGACATATTCTATTTTGGCCCCGGGGGGAAATGTGTCCACATCCATCGCCGGCCGAG